TTTAATTAGGAGAATATAGACCTTTTATATTAGAACAACGAGAATCGATCTCGGCTTAGCGTCTATACGCTAAGCCGAATAACAAATTCCCTGCCCCAAACGTGAGAGCAACAAGTGTTTGAAACAGCCGTGTTTGGAGCACAAGTCATTTACCGCAAAAAATTTTTATGTGTTTTCGTTAAAAAAAATGTCGAAAGTAATACTTTTGTAGCATAAAGTATTTATTTATTTATTTACGAAATTCAGTAAGTGTTGTGAAACAACATTTACTGAATTTCGTAAAATTAAAATACTGAAATTTTATTTTTAGAATTGACAGTCAACTGTTTTTCAATAAAAAAAATAGTTGATCGTCAATTCTATGATAGCCGGCCAATTACCGCTGTGTGTGCAGGTGTGCGCGCGCGTGTGTGTAGTGTGCTGGATTGGAGTATATATACTATCAAGAAAGTGCTTTGAATTGAGTCAGAGCTATAATCAAAATGTAAAAAATAGTACTACGTGATTTTCACAACTTAAGTTTCATGCTACTGCAATTACCAGGTGAAATTTTTCATAGCTTCTTCATAATAAAAAGCTGTAACAACTTTTGTTCGTCTTTTTTTGTAATTATTTCTTTTGTTATAATAAAATTTTGAATAAAAATTTTTATAGAAAAACATTTCACCGCATTGTTATTGCAACTTTTTCGAAAATGCAGCTATTCAATGCTACATTATGTCACAGGAAACCTAGAAGCAACAACGACAGCACATTTTCTCGAAAATCCTTATGAGCATTATAAACCAATTTACAATAATGCTCTTGATTCTATTTTTAGCGCACTTGAAAATAAGTTTGATCAACCAATCTTCAAAAAAATATATTATTTTTTTTAAACGCAATGGAAAATAAACTTGATCAACCAACATACAAGCTATTTTCTTAAGCAGAGTAGTTAATTCTGAAAGCGGCAAGCAAACAGTTTGTAACCAATAAATTAAAAGTATTAGAGACGCATTTTAAAGGTAACGTCACCTGCTGATTCGTTAGCTTCAGAGCTTTAAGTATTTCCAACAATCTTTAGTGAAACCATCAACATATAAAAAGTAATTAATGGTAAAGTTCTTGTCACGAGAAAAAAAAAATCTTAGTTCGAAAAATGCTTTACTATCATAAGTACCATCCTAAAGGTTATTTTTAATGTTAAGAAAAATTAAAAAATGGCTTCGATCAAAACAGACACAGAAAGGATCAAATCTATATCTATTCCTTTTTGACAACAAAACTATTATTGACTAAATATCCCTAAATCAATATGCTAATAAATTTATTGCTTATGACCAAGTAAAAAGAATACTTTTGGTAGTTCATTACCAAGTAGAAAGAACAATTTTGGTTAAAAAGATCTTTACATTACTATTTTTTATAATATTATGTTTCTAATTCCGTTGTTGCTTAGTTTTTTTAAACTTTTTGAGTAATTTCTTTGGAAAATAAATGTTATAACAATGCTGTTGTTTTTGTTGTTTCTCTGTTAAATTAGGTATTAAAATGAACGTTAAAAGTAAAAGATTGCTATTTTAAAGCATTTAGCTTTTTTGAGTCTTTAATTTTCTACACCTCCAAACCATTTTGGACAACATTGAAGAAAAAAAAAAATTTTCTTCAAATTTGTTAAATTTTTAACTGAATAGGGATGAATAGTATATTTTGTGATGTTGGTGTTATGATTTGACCATTCATGACAAGAAGCACTTCATTAATGGAGCTTCAATTGTTTTGCTTTACCAAGAAGCAGTTGAAGCTCTATTAACCAAGAAACAGTAAAACCTTAATTAACCTAGAAGCAGTTGAAGCTCAATTAATCAAAAAACAGTTGAAGTTCAATTAGTAAAATGATTTCTAAACTAATTTATCTTTTAAACATTTTAATTTGCAGAGAAAGACATTATTAAGACACTTTGCAGTATTAGATTTTTCTCCCTAGTTGAAATATAATTAATAATTACATTGGATTAACCAAACAACCGGATTAAACCAAAGTTTTTTAAGACTTCAGATTAACCAAGCTTATCTAATAAAGCGTTCCGCCAACAGCAGGGTTACTTATTGCTTTGTTTACATATTTTACAGATTATATTGCAAAACACCCACCAACCTGTGGGTGTTTCTGAATTTTTTGCGTAAAAAACACCTACCAACCTGTGGGTGTTTCTGAATTTTTTGCGTAAAAAACGGTGATAATCTGTGAGCTGTTAGGTAACATTGTCAACTTACCTTGTTACGAATAATAATCAAAGCCTAAGAACCATCATAAAAGTATCATTTTCAGAACAAACAAAAATAAAGGCAAGATAGTGCTTTGGTTGCATCATCTAAGCCCAAATAATTATGATGTTTCTTTATCTTATTTTACCTAAATAAAAAGCTCAACAATCAAATAGGTTATCTCCTGGATAACTACTTGGAGGTTATTTCCTGGATAATTATTTAAATAAAATCTTTCAAAACAAAAAAGCTGTTTTAAAACGAAATCAATAAAATGTAACCTGAAAGTGTCAGCCAGTGTTAAAGTATTTAGCACAAAAAAAAGGCGCAACTATTTATGCAAATCAAAAAATAATCTAAGTAACAACGTAAAATTAAAAAATTATGTTTTGGCTTAAAACATTTCTAATTTTATTTTTAGTTTTTAAAAACAAGTTAGTTGAAAATGGGCAATAAGTGAGAAAAATGTTACTCTACAATAAACTTTTTTTACAAACAATTTTCATTTTAACTTGTTTATAGTAAGGTACGTACGCTCTTGCTGTGTGCATTACAGCTAAAACTTATTTTGTTCAATATTAAAAGCAAAAAAAAAAAATCAAAGAACTTTTTAAAATGTCATAGTCTACGCAATATTCCATTTTCTTTGTTCTTGTAAATATGGTTAGGAGGCATCCGTAAAGTACGTATGCAGTAAAACCATTAATATAAAACCTGTCCCCCTTTTGTACGCATCTTTGTGCTTTCAAAAAAAACAACCTCATCCTCTCTGCGTACGTTTGCATCATTTAGTACAAAATCAAACCCCCTTTTTTCAAATTTTTTCAAAACATTCAAAACAAAAAACTTTTTTTTAATGAGACATATTTCTGTTACATTACATAACAATGACTTTTTAAACTAAAGATATTTTTTAAAAAGTATCTCCTAAATCAAGTTTTAAGAGAGAACAAGAGTACTCGTTGTCTTTAACACCCTACCCATATTGTATGCATTCGTACATTTTTTGGTAGCCCCCCATTACTGCTTACTTTATGGAAGATCCTTTATATAATGATAAATTTTTATATTTAAATGTAAAGATCTTTTCTCTTATAGTAGAAACCTTGCACTTTAAGCAAATATGCGAATTTATAAATTACAAAAAGAAGTTTATTTTTTACAGGAAGTATTCTTTTATATATTAATATTTACTAAATTCCTTTCATTTTTTTATATTTCCAAATGGTTTTAAAGTGGCTTAAATTTTAAAGAGAGGTTTTTTTAATTCTTTAACCATACAAAACATAATTCTTTCATAATATAGCTTTTTAAATATATATAAAAAAAAAAATAGCGTAAAGTCCTGATAAAAGATTAATGCCCACTCGTTTCCTTTTCAAACAAAGATTATTGCATATTGAACAGCATGCGGGCAGTGAGTATAATTGACTTTTAAGGTATTTGACATTTAGCATTAATGAAGACCTGGTTTTTACTGCACGTGTTATTTTTTGTGCTTTTTAAAAATTATTTAAATATTTAAATATTCTTTTCCATAAAATAAAACAACCAATTAATTTAATATCAAAAATGTCATTCAATAAAAATGAAATTAAGCGAAACACTTTTGTATAAAATGAAATTAAACGTACAAAACTTTTAGTAGTTTTATTTTATGAGAATCTATAATGGAGAAACCATATTAGTCTAATTGAAACAAAAATATCATCTGTTATAAATCTATTAGATAAACCAAGAGCCTTTCTTGATTACAAGTCACAAAAAAAACTTTACTTCAGTCTTGTTTATTGTCATCTCTCCTACGCTAATATTATATGGGCCTACACACAAAACTAAATTATAAATTTACAAAGATTACAAAACCACGCATGTAAAAAAGTTAATTTCTTAAAGAGATTAGAAAATCCCAACCCTGTAATAAAATACATGAATCTCTTAGATATATCAAAATTTAATTCATTTCAATTACTAATATTTATGTAAAATATAAGAATAACTTGCAGCCAATATATATATATATATATATATATATATATATATATATATATATATATATATATATATATATATATATATATATATATATATATATATATATATATATATATATATATATATATATATATTTATATATATATATATATATATATATATATATATATATATATATATATATATATATATATATATATATATATATATATATATATATATATATATATATATATATATACATATATACAATGTAACTTTATTTCCTTAAAAAACTCCTTAAAAGACTTGTTAAGCGGAATTTTTAAATTCCACGAACCTAAAAACGAAAGTCATTTGGGTCAAATCTATTTGAACCAGACACTGGGTCAAATAGATTTATTTGATATTTAGAATTTTTTTAATTTGAAATCACTTTATAAGAAAATAAATTGCTATACTCTGCCATCTGCGAGGATCAAATCTATTGAGTCTAATTGCCTGCCAGAAGCCCTGCATGATATGCGCATTCTTATGTGCATGCAATGCTGCAATTGTGGGTGTATTTATTTATGAAGCAGCAAATTAAATTTAATTAATATCTTTTTATTAAATTCTATAAATTGTTTGAATTTATTCGGATTTAATGGAAACGAGTAAAACCTCCGCAGTAACAGTCTTAAGTCTATTGTTAGACTGAAATCTTATTATCAAAGGATGTTTTATTGTTTTAAATGTATTTAAAGAGACTGCGGATTCTAAAATATTTATTTACAAAACAATACTGCTGGATAAAGGTAAGAGGTTTTTTACTACCTAACTTATTTTATGATATACTGTAATACTAAGCAAATTAATTATAAAAATAGAAACATGAAACCTTTTTTATTTTTATTACAATTTTTGCTATGTAAACTGTAAATTAAAAGTTCAAGTTCTAAGAGTTCATTATTCCTTTTTTAATTACAAGAATAATTTGGTTTCCACCAACTTATAACAAACTTATGTCAATATAAGCAAGACAAATAAAACTACAAATGTATATCAGGAATTCCAAAACAATAAGACTGATAATTTTTTATATCAAGAATCGGGTGATACTAATAAACTTCTTTGTAGCTATAGACACATAAAATTCAGCCTCTAACTCTCGAAAGCTTTAAGGTTTGACAATACCACAATTAACTAAATTTTCGTTTATTTTTTGACCCTAGCATTTTAATAAAATTTGTTTATTTTTCTGCATAGATGATCAAAGATGGTCAAATTTCTTAGACATGTATTAACCGACATACGGTCAAAGTTTTTTAGTTCTTCCTTCGAAACAAGTTGACCGTTTTATGGTCAAAATTGTGTTCAAATGGTGTATTTTAAATAAGAGATATCAAGAAATACTTTGACAAAAAGTATTTAAATAACTTATATAGATAATAATATTATTGCAACATACAAAAAGTCGTTAGATCAAATCAAAAAGCTGAAGTTTTTTAAATAGCTTAAGTCGGTAATTTGAAAAATGGTGTGATATATTTTTATATGGTTGATATTGGGACATCACGGTTTTAGCTTTACACATTTTTGGATAAATGAGAAGCAGATGGATAATTCAGATGAGAATGCCTAAACAAAAAAAGAATGACAAACCTTCATTAAAGTAACATTGTGTTCAAAAATCTAGGTATTTCTTTCCTTCTAAAAATTTTCTTACTTATACTGCTAACCTAGAGACACCAGGCTAAGCTGTAGAAAATATCGATACAATTTTATCACAGAACCTCCTTTAATTTTTTTGCAATTGAAAAAGTTTATCAGATTGTGTAATTTAACTCATTTTTTCGCTATTGTCAGGCTAAATCAGAGACTAACTTGTGTATGTGGCAGCTTTTTAGCTGTATTTAGATCATTCATCTTTGTTATTGGTATTCCAATAATTCAATTTAAAAATTACAATTTTATTAAATCACTTAAACGATAAAACGTTGTCTAATATTAGTAAATGTCCAAAAATTTATGAATTTTTCTTAAGCTTAACAAGTGCCTATTAAAAAACTATTCAACTTTAAAATCAAAAACTAAAAAAAGTAAATACAGGAAACAAAAATGAGTTGTTGTAAAACTATGCTTAAAGCTAATTTTTTCTAACTTCTCAATTTTAATTACGCACCTTGGTTTTTGTCTTTGCCAATTAAATTTTTAATTACGCACCTTGGTTTTTGTCTTAAACCAATAAAATACTTTTTTTTTTATTATTTAAAAAAATTTTAATTAATTTTGTAGTTTTTATTAATAATGCAAGTTTATCATTTTATAGTTTTAAGACAATCATAGAAGAAACCCAACGATTTTTGCTAAAAGAGCTTGTGTTTTGAGATTTTATCTTTAACGTTAACAACAAAAATTAATAACATACAAAAAAAAATTATGTTTTCGTTAATTGTAATATGTTTACTTAAGGCTATTTTTTTTTGTCGAAATACTAATATGAGAATTTCAACGATAATGTTTGTATGAGGCATACATGTATTGTGATAAATTGAACTACTTTTAAAATAGACTTCCGAAGATAAAAATAAAATAATGTGACAAAAGGAAAAACTTTCTTAAAGTTTATATACTTTTTAAAAATACTTAAACCCTTGTTAATATTATATATATTTTTTAATAATATAATAAAATATTTAAAAAATTTTAAAAATCTTTAAAGTGGAAAGAAATCTTTTTTATTAAACATAAAAGAAAAAAGTTATTTTTTATTAAACATAAAAATTATATAAAAAATGTCCGAGTTGTACCGTACATTTTTCCTCGTATCAAAACACTTTAATTTGAAACATTACAAATATTTATATCTTTTTATTTGAAGTTTTCATGTTACTCCGTTAAAAAAAAGCGCTTTGCGTCGTGTTTTCAGTGGTAAAAAAAAAAAAAAAAAAAAAAAAAGGGAGGTAGGTATAAAAAAAGTTTATGTAATTTAAGTGAAAAATCCCTTATTATAATTTTAATAGTCTTTCTGTAAACACAATTCAAAACAATTTATGTTAATTTTCCATCAAGTTGTTTTTAGCATTTTTGCTGATGCGATCCTTAAATATGATAAAAATTAAGAAACAAATAAGAACATCGTCTGACTCAATTATTTTGGACTGTTCAGTAAACAGCTAATTTAATAAATTCAATTATTATTTGCTTGTTCAGTAAATACAAATAATATTTAAAAAATAACAAAGTTTGACACGCTACTTTTGGTTAGAATTGGTAAAACACTACAGTAACTGTAGTACAGTTGTTTTTGAATTATCAACAAAACAATTTTAAATCTTTCCAGAACATTTTAAATCCATATTTTAACCTTAAAAATCAGAAGCTTTATATTGTACTCTTCTTATCATGGTTTATTAAAAGTATATTTTTTTGAGATTACTTTTGTTAAATCTAGATATAATTATATGTAACTCAAGTTACATTTGCAATAAATAAAATGCCAACTTTTGCAGATGCTTCAAAGTATAGTTTAAACGGTAGAATTTATTTTTAACGAGTTAGGTTGCTTTTAATTGCGAGGAGCCTATTCGATTTTCTCATATCCTGAAAAGTGTAAAATACATTAGGAGGTTTTTTTTTTTTTTTTTTTTTTTTTTTTTAATTTTTAAGGTGCCCCAAAAAGTCCTTGCGGTCTTATCACAAAGCACCGCGAAAGAGCATTTAATAGAAGTTCACGCCTCCTTCCCAACCGATGTCGCAAAACTTACCCAGAGGTGGGGTTTGAACCACGGATCTTACTTTTCTGAGGCAAGTGCGGTACCACTGCGGTACCACTGCGCCACGGCTGCTCTCTCTATATATATATATGTGTGTGTGTCTGTGTGTGTGTGTGTGTGTGTGTGTGTGTGTGTGTGTGTGTATGTATTTTTAACCCGTCACTTGCAGCACTTAACGGTGTTTAAATACACCTCTGATATAGCGTGCCAAAAATA